GGGGGGGGCGCGGGAGGCTTTGGTCTCTGTGTCCCCGCAGCGCGGGACAGGGCTCGGTCCTCGCCGGCGTCACCACATCCTGCTCCTCGTTCTGGGTGCCGGAGCCCCCCGGAAAGTGGTGTTTTAGCTCATTTTAAAGCCTAAAGCCTGCCCTTGAACGTGACACTGGCTCACACCACTGGTGATGTTACTGGAGTAACTAAATACTATATGTTTTACAGATAGCAGTAATTTCTGAAAATGAAACAAAAAATGAAAGCACTTAAGTTGTATTTTTCTCTGTTTTGTTCTCACCTTTGCGGTAGGAAGAAAAAAGATTTTTATGGAAGAAAAGATGAGGGGAGAAAAAAGGTCATTGTGCGGAAGTCTGTTAATTGTCATTTTGAAACATTAAAGTAGCAGTCAAATCTTTCAAACCATGGGAAAAGAAAGTCTCTTGAATGTTTCAGAGCTTAACGTGGTATAGACTCAATCCAAGTGTTGAAGTTTTTAAGAGTCAGCATTTTCATATGAAAAAGCCTCAGCCCTTCAATGATGAATTCGGCCTGGGACAAACCTTGTGCAAATTTCTGCAAATCAGAATATCTCCTTAGGAGATTCACGTTTGGGAGCTCCGAGTTCTGTGACTCGAAAGGCAAGGTGGCAACTCTTGTGGCATAAAGCCTTATCACAGAATCATGGAATGGTTGGTTTGGAAGGGACCTAAAGCTCATCCAGTTCCAGCCCCCTGCCATGGGCAGGGACACCTTCCACTAGAACAGGTTGCTCCAAGCCCCTGTGTCCAACCTGGCCTTGAACACTGCCAGGGATGGGGCAGCCACAGCTTCTCTGGGCAACCTCTGCCAGCGCCTCAGCACCCTCACAAGGGAGAATTTCTGCCTTATATCTAACCTGCCCCTGTTTCAGTTTGAGCCCATCACCCTTTGTCCTGTTGCTACAGTTCCTGATGAAGTCCCTGATGTCCCTTCCAGGGACATCCCTGTAGGCCTTTTCAGACACTGGAAGGCTGGTTTCTTAGTTTTTCCAGCCTTATGCTTGTGTTTTTGCAATTATTTTTAGTCTCATGTCTGAACTTCCTTTTTTATTGCAGTGGTTTCTTTCTGAGTAATGCTGGTTTCCTGCATTCTATGTTTTGTATTTGTATGTTACTGCAGTCTTTACAGTATTCCGACTCAGAAGAAGGGTGTTTTGGTCAGTCTGTGATACACTGTTAGTGTGTAAATCAGTAATAGCTGCTCACACTTTATTGGTGCACTTACCTGAAAATAATACGCTTTTTTTATAAGATGAAGTTTGGAAAATGAAGACTGTAAAAGAGGAAAACTGTAAATAGAGCCAATAGAGATTTATTTGTACTTTCCATCTACTTGAAACAAAACATTGCTAAATAGTGCTAAGTTTTCTAGGCTTATTACAAAGAAAAACCACATAACTTAATCTTTCAATTTTAAAAAAAAATGTTAGATTCTGAATATTCTTTTTTCTACCTGCGAAGTTTCTATGTTAAGCACAACGGAATAATTCTGAAGACATGCAGTAAGCAGAAACTGCAGCCAGCCCTCACTTACAGACATCATGTGGCCTCGGAGCCCTGTTACTGGTGATCAGGACTGTTTATGAAATTACTGGCTGTAAACACATGTAGTCATTATTTATTAGTACAAATTTGCAAGTAAAATTGTGACAAAACGTGCATTGCACTGCATTCAGTCTGTGTAAATTTAAGGCTGTGTCCTATAACATGCTTTAGTCTTTTAGAATACGACTTATCATCTGGAGGTTTTCTGTATTCATTTTTTTTGTGTTGTTCACAGTCTGGTATTTAGTTACAAACCATTTCTGTGTCATCAAATAGATGCAAAGATGCTAAAGAGATGTGAATTGAAAAATTAACATGTATTGCATTTGGAAGACAAACTTAACCCACACACTTAGTATTTTCATTTGATAGATGTTTTTCAGGTCACAAAATTATTAATTACATGCATTTGTTCTTGAGTAGTCTCTGCTAATATAAAGAAAAATGTTGTATTATGCCTGTTCTCACAGGCATGTGGATAGCCTAAGATGTAGAAGTGATAAGTTTTGAAACAGTAGAGAAGATCTGCAGGTTCATGTATATTCAGTGTTCCTGTGCATGAGGGTGTGTAATAAAAGTTGAGCTTTAATCGTTTTCCTTGTTCCAGTTACGTGATTTATAAGGCATTTAGATGCATAGGCATGTGTCTGCTTTTAGCAGTGTCTGCATGCTAAGAACACTGAATGTGATTTAATGAAACTGTGAACTCTGAAGGAGCACAAAGTGGAGTGGTAAGGATTAGATGAATTTAACCTGATCTTCACAGCGGCATAACACACACAGTTGTTCAGGAGTTAAAACCTATTTGGTGTGGGGTTTGTTTCTACAATCTTTTACTAGCCTTGAGCATTGTTTGCATCCTCACCTAGGTTTGCGTGCATCAAAATATTTGATAACAGAACCAAACCTCATACATCATATGTCAGCACAGTTTGATTAAGAGCTCAAAATGGAAAGTGTAACTTCTTGAAAATCCAGGGTAATCCGCCAAATAAGCATTGTGAAGCTTAGTTAGCAGCTGACTTGTGTATTTTAGACTTACTATGGGGGTTTTCTTCTCCTAATCCAATATTTGAAATGAAATAGAAGCAGAATAATTCCAGTAGGTCAAATTCTGTCCCTTACTTCTGGTTTAGGAGGAAACTGCTTTGAATGGGATTATGAAGATAGGGGATTCTGGGACTGGGGACCTTGCAAGAGGAAGAGTCACATATCTTGGATGTTGTCACTATTTACAAGAGAGCTGATGGTGTAGTGATTGATTTTTTCAGCATCTGGAGGAACTTGCTCGTGCAGTTTGGGTAATTGGCTTTCAGGCTATGCATATATTAGTTGTATGTTCTTTGAGAGGAAAAGAAGAATAGAGTGACTTTAATTCCAGAGAGGTCGCAGAGGTTTATGAAGGATATTTTGAACTCGAGTTCAGGATAAAGAAATGATAGAGGTGATGTAGGTTAGTTAAACAAGAAATTTTACACATATTCTTGAGAGTTTATAAAGCATATTCTGACAAGCAAAGTATTATGCTATCTGTTGTTGAAGTGATTGAGAAGTTAAAGATTGTCTTGCATAGTTTGGTATAACAAACTAGATTTTATAGGTATTAATCAGGAAGAACTATGCTGGTAGTTAAATTTTAAGGGATTTATTATAATGATTGCTCTCTGTTTCACCTGATTAAAAACTCTCCCTGCAGTAAGGTGGTTTGACAGCAAGAAGATATTAATTTTAAATTGACATCATGTTGTTGAATTTCAGGTTCACAGAACAATGACACTAAAAGACAGTTTCTTCTGGAACGGCTGCTGGATGCAGTTAAACAGGTGAGAAATCCAGTACATATTTTTACAGTACACTTACTCTAAGTTGTTGTACAAGCAGGAACTGTCTTTGCCCTTTTTTCTCCTCTTTACCAAAGAAGAAACCTTGTCTTTTGCACAGCACTGCTGAGTTTTTTTTGTCTGCTACTAAAAAATAATTATGAGGTATTTAAAATTCTTGTTCTTGACAGATTGTATTTGTGATATTTATACTTACTATAAATATATTTATAATACAGAATATGTATAAGAATATATACTTGTAATACTTAGACCACTGAACTAAATTGTAGTGTACTGCATTGTACTGTACATTTTACAGCAGCAGCTTTTTTTCTTTGCACTAGGATTTTAGTGGGTGGTTACAGTAGAGGTAAAGATGGGATTCATTTGTGTGTGTGTATGTATCTTACATCAGGATGAAGTTCAGCAAATAGAATTTCATAGACTGGATTCACTTAAGGAGAGCATGGGAGGCAAAAGACTGCCTGGAAAGTAAGCCAATGATACGTTCTATAAGAAATGATCCTTCTGTAAGTGTAGTGTTGAGCTAAATAGGAGCAATGTTTGTTTTTGTGGTTGTACATTTAAAACTCAAAAGTAGTAGTTTTCACTCAGATTTACTGAAGGACCTGCAGGTGTGTTGTGCTGGCTAGCGAGGGCATACAACAAGAACTCCAAGGGTAGCTCATTAGTGGAACATAATGCTGTGAAACACTTTGGTTGCAGGCTGTATTTGGCAATGTGTTGTTTTGTACTGCTTCAGTTTTTCGTTATGACTTTGTTTCTTACTTGGAGATAACTTGAAATACTGAGTTTTTTAGTGCAACAAGAATTTGTTAAAATCTCTTTATTGCAGTGTCAAATACGATTTGGAGGAAGAAAAGAAATTGCTTCAGACTCTGATAGCAGGTAAAATAGTCTAAGAAACTTCCAACATGCTTAGATTATGTATTGTGATGGCACAAAATTCCTGACAGCCAAGAACCCTGTTTCCTTTGTTTACACAAACACTGACATGAGACTCTGAATTTTTCATCTTGTTACAAATTTGATAGCTTGACACAGGGTGTTCTTCTATATGAAGTTGCAAGTGTTTAAATGGCTGCAGTGTTCATGCCATAGCATTGAATCCTGAGATCTAAGCGTGACACTGGGAGAAGCGACCTTCCATAGAACCTTGTTTAAAATGAGTGCATATTTATTTCCAGTACTCCCATGTTTCATGAAGCCTGACACGTAACTGTCAAGTGTGTTTAACACCTAGTCACTAAGAAAATTGTCATCCTTCTTTTTTCTAGTTCCTGACATGTTTTAAACCCATTTTTCTTCCTTTTCTGTATGAGTTGTTCCTTTTTATTAAAAAAAGTTAAAGTAAGTAAAAAGATGTCATTTAATTCCTATTAGTTGCATTTGTTGTTGGATATGGCATATTGGTTTCTAAGGCTTTTAAGAAGATGTCCGACGGAAAGAAATAGCAGTGCATTCTGTATCCTACTGAGTCTATCTCAGAACCTATCCTATCGAAGAATCTTGGGTAAAGATAAATCCAGGATTAAATGCAGTTGTTTGTTGTACTTTTTCTAATGTCCTTGAAGTTTGACTTTGCCTGTTGAGAAGATAATTCTCTGTTGACCATTTATAAATGATGTATAGAATTCTCTTCAATCCCCTCCTAATTCAGTCTTTAAGAACATGTCTAAGGGTGTGTTTTCATGACTTCTGGAAAGTCACCATAACAATTCATTGCTGTTGAAAGCGTGGGGAGGGTTCATATATCTCCTCAAGGTTGCTGACTTCAGTACTTCTTGCACCACTGTTTTAAGCAATGCCCAGTGATCATCCAGTCCCCTCTGAATTAATGTAATGAAAGAAGAAATGATGCAAAAGGATAACATTCTGCCATTTTAGTGAGTTAGATAAGTAAAACGTGGTGAATGCTAGAGTTGCTGCAAGGAGGGGAAGCAGCTAAAAGCAATGGGAAGTGCAGAAGAGGAGGAAGAAGCCACAAGGTCTGAGAGGGGCAAACCCATCTCCTTTCAGGAGTAGCTTGTAATGCAGCTCCTGCACATTGTCTGTGTGGGGAACTCCAGGCTAAAGGAGTTAGAAGTTCACATGAGTTTTTAATAACTTGAGCTCTTTCACAGAACCTAGTTTCTGTTCTGTTTTTTTCTGAATTGAAAAAGTAGAGGCTCTTTTGTTTGTTTGCTTGTTTGTTTTCCTGGGGGGTCACGTATCTGCAGGAATTTCCATTTTTGACAGCATCAGTCTTTGTGGCAAAATTTAATCACAAGACCTCCACAATCATCTTGAGTATTATTTGAATGATATTCTGCTTTATTAGTCAAGTTTTCCTAACAAAGTAAAGTTTCCTAACATAGATGGACTGGAAAACATTACATGTTAAAAGCTCTTCTGTCCAGGGCAGTTATGGTAAATATACTTCTCTTTCTGTCAGTGCTTCTCCTGAGATCTTCTGCTTTTTTGTGACCCTGAATAGAACTCTGTACTTGTGGAATGCTGGGGCAGAGTCCTGTGCCACTTTGTCAGCTGTTTTTGTGCATTTACTTGAACTTAGTTAAAGTATCTGCCCTTCCTTTTAGAAATCAGCTTTGGCAGTGAGCTGACAACTTTCTTAAAGCTTAAGTTTTAAGTACTGTTTACTTAATAGCCAAAAGTAATACTTATTTTCTCTAAGTATTTCAAAGAAACAGATTTCATTCCTATCTGTTATACCTTAAGTTTAGTCTTCCCTGTAGGTTACAGTGATATTCCTTTCTTTGGCAGGCTGAATTATGCTGGTTTTACAATGTTTCTAGTTGTGTGAAAACTGATTTATTAATTAGGTTGTGTTAAAAACCCGTAAAAATCAGATGATTTATAAGTAGTATTGTAGAGAACAACATCAAAACACGAAACTTAACATATCTCTGGAAAAATGTGTCTTATTTTCCTATGCCTCGGATTTCTGAAGGATGTTAAAATGTATGTTTGTTTTCCTAGGCTTGAATTATAGAGTACTAATGCACATTAATAAAATTGTCTATTACTTATATAGGAAGTTACAGCATATTTTCAGAAAATCCTTTGTTGCATGTGTAGCACAGAGTGTATTTATGAAAATGTAATTGCTTTTCTTGGAAAGTATGAAATCCAAAGCTGAAATGATGTGACTAACAATCACTATAGCAGGTGAGGATGATTTCTCAAATTGACTGCCAATTCTTCTGAGTTGTTTATGCCCCAGCTTTGGATAGTCATAGAATGGTTTGGATTGGAAGGGATCTTAAGATATCCAGTTCCAACCCCCCAGCCATGGGCAGGTACACCTCACACTAGACCGTGTTGGCCCAGGGTCTGTCCAACCTGGCCTTGAATGAATGCCATGACAAAGCTGTGGGTGTAAGTAGATTATACTGTTTGCAGATAATGAGATTAGAGCATACAAGGAGTCTTTCACTACATGTAAGATAATGGTTCACCTTTACATTCAGAGATTTGGAATAAACTGCTCTGTGGGAACATAGTTGATTGTTCTTTTCACAAGATTCCCTTACAAATTCTGTTGCAGAGTCACTTGTTTGTGTGCTCAGTTTGAAGCTGTGTTTCAGCATGGTCTGAGGAGGAGCCGAGGACTAGCATTAACAGCAGCAGCCATCAAACAGGCAGCAGGCTTCTCCAGTAAAACTGAAACAGGTAATTTATTATTCCTAACAATTCTATTTTAAGCAGTTGGTAAGTGCAAGCAAATGATACAATTTCTAATGGAAGTTTTAAGACTGCAGTCTGCTGGTAGCATACTTAACACTTGGACTCTCAATAAGCAGTGAAAATGGTAATTGCTTTGTTAATTGTGTTGTAACTTTCATACCAAGCTTTTCTAGAAATGTTGATGTTTGGAAATCTGTGCTTCCTACAGTTCCATCATGAATGGCGTCTTTGACAAATAAGTTAGATTCTGATAGGGATAAAGCATTTACAATTACTGATGTAGAGTTTTGTTAGCTCCAATTGAGAAGGTTGAGGCAACTGCAAAACCCCTCTTTATCAATATTTGGAAATGGGGCAAGGAAAGTATGTTGGTGGAAAGGGGTGTTGCATTTTAAATGTAACAGGTTTTTTACGTATTTTTTTAAAGTAACATGAATTTGTCATTTGCATATCTGCAAATTCTGGAGCTACCTGTTCCTTTGGACCTAGCTTCCAACATTTCACAATCAGCAGCAAGACAGAATTCTAAAGAATTCTTTTACTTTGCGTAACACATTCCCAGCTGAACATTAGAACCTGTTCTATGGTTGACATACTAACTTGAACGTGCTTTAAATGTGAATTCAGTTTAAAAATGTGAGATAGAATCCTTTAATGCATGTCTGTGGTTTTTTCAATGAGGTGAAAAGTTCTAAGTGCTTAAATAGCCCAAGTTCTGTAGAAATAAATAACCTATTTAAATGGTGAGTTGTATGAAGATGCTGAATGATTCACCTTTGTTCAAAGTTATATACCATTACCTGCTGCTTTTGGAAAATTGCACATACATGCATTCAGATATGTGGTTTTGGATGTGTTTTTAATTATCATTATTTTTAAATTTTATTTTTTCCCCCCTCCAGAGCCAGTGTTCTGGTACTATGTGAAAGAAGTTCTGAATAAACATGAACTGCAGCGCTTTTACTCTCTGAAGACAATTACCACAGACATTGGTAGAGGCCGGGCCTGGTTGCGCTGTGCTTTAAATGAGCATTCACTGGAAAGATATGTTCATATGCTGCTGGCAGATAAGAATCGACTTAGGTACTGTATTTGATGCCTTTGTAATGCAGGAAATGTATGGACAAATGACGTACTGAGATTAAAACAACCAACCAAAAAATACAGCTGTACTAATACAGTGAATTAATTGCTGTGCTAGTGAAACCACTTAACCTTATACTTACCTTTTGTTCATTTTTGAAATTTTGGCAGCCATTAAGATAGTGGCTTGTGCCTATATCAACTTGTGACCTGAAACTGGCTTCCTTCTAGCACATGAGAATGTATGCATCTATCCTTATCTTAATTTCCATCTTCTTTCATAACTGCCTTCCCCATTCTTTCAACAGTATTTCTCACTGAGACCTTGACATCAGGCTTTGAGGTGCCCCTTTTGTGCCATTAATATTGCACACAATTGGAGCCTTGATCTATCTGTTCCTCAATAGCAATTGCCTGGGGTCTTTTGGAGATGCTCATCCTGTAATTTAAAAGCTCCTGCAGTCCAGCAATAGGTAGCTACTATTGCAGGTCACTTGGAACTGGTTTTGTACTGGTTTGTAAATGTAATTCTACAGAGTTACTGAGAATAACTTACTATGCATTGTGAAATCTTAAGGTACTTTGGCTGTGTGAAATACACATATCTTATAATTCACATAGTTCATAATTAGCTGAGTCCCACCTTTTCACTCGTACATCTTCAGCCCCTCTTCTTTTCGAAAAGTTAGGGTATTTTCCTTATTTGATGATCTTGATCAAGTCCAGTGGATTCAGCAGAAATCCATTCTTTCCATTTGGCTTGGTAATTATGGTCAACTCTAGTTATTTGAAAGCTATATATGCAGTATAGCAATAGTTGTAGAGAAATAACATGCCTGCTAATGTAGAATGAACCTCCTTGCCCTGAGTGGCTGGTTTTTTCATGTAGAAATGCAGAGATAAAAGTGAAGATAAAATACCATGTAGCACATCTTTGATAACTGTTCAGTTTGCTCTATATCAGAACTCTAGGACGTAAAATTTAATCCATTGAGGTAGTCATACTTATTTTTCAGAGTTTTTATGTCTTTTAGAAGCGGAAAGTATGTTAATACAGGACTGCATATTCTCTTATTTTCCCTTTCAAATGATAGTGTCTTCTATGAAGACTGGTCTTTTATGATGGATGAAGAACGTTCTAGTATGATCCCTACCATGGCAGCTGGTAAGCCTTCCTCTTAAATGCTGCTGTTCTTCAAAAAACATTCCAAAATTTCATTTTTGAATGTCGTACCTGTTTCTCTCACGCACTCTTTGCTTATGTGGAGAATGTGTGTCAGGTGCATATGCTATGATTTGATGAACTATTAAAACACTGGATCTGTCTTTCCTACACGTCAAAAGCCTTTCACAGAAGTTTTCTAACTCTTCATCAGTCAAGGCTAGATTCTTTTAGAAACCTAGTGCTTCTTCTTTTAGAAAATATAGAGAAAACAAAATGGGTTATTCCTGGCTAGAAAATAGTAATGATAGACTTACTATAGTAAGACGCAAAATATAGGTAAATACATGAAAGGAGAGTAAGAGTAGGAATGATAACAGAGAATTGACCACGGAAGTGATGTTTTATTACCATATATACCCCTTTTCTCAGATATGTGGTCACATGCTTCATTCTGCAAGATAGGGTTCACAGAAGTTTTTGTTAATAGAGTTTAGGAGCCAACAAATACTAAAGTTGCAGCAAAATGAGTTTAAATGGAAGGGTATAAATAAATGTGTTCACAGTACTTACTGCTTATTTAATGTGCAGCTGAACAGCCATCAAGATAAATTCAGAACTGATGGCATCAGCTTGAATATGATCTAAAAAAGAATGAATGGTACATGACAGAATAAGAATTCGTGCATGGTGAATGGTGGGAAATTTGGGGGAAGAAATGTTTTACATGTCATAGCTTTGTTAATTCTTAGGTTCTATCTTCATACCTTTTGTATGAAGTACATAGTGAGCTTTCAGTCTTATTTTTCCCTTTCTTTTCTCTGAAGGTCTGAACTCCATTCTTTTTGCAATCAACATTGACAATAAGGATTTAAATGGGCAGAGCAAATGCACACCCACTGTGTCTGATTTGTTAAAGGAATCAACACAGAATGTGACCTCATTGCTGAAAGAATCCACTCAGGGTGTTAGCAGCCTTCTTAGAGAGATCACGGCATCATCTGCTGTCTCAATTCTAATAAAACCTGATCAAGACACTGACCCACTTCCTGTTCTCTCAAAGAGTGTAAATACTGGTAAGCATTTTTGCAATGTTTGTGTCATTCAGAACTTACAAAATTCTCAAGTGTGTTTAAATAACTTTTGCAGTTAAATTTAATGCACTATTATGGAACAAAAACCTTAAGTGCGTTACACAAACAAACTAGTTGAGTGTGAAAGAAAAAGTTTTGTTGTTTTGTTGGGTTTGTTTGTTTGTTTGTTTGTTTTTAAGAAATACTGGTGTGAATACTGGATGATAAATGTGTACTTCAGCTCTCTTGTGTCATGTGAGAGGGAAGCTAAACTACCTCATTGGTAAAGTGCTTTGCTTGCGACCTGAATTTCAATTTCTTGTTTGTGTGAGATTATGCCTTGCAGTTTCTCATGTCATGATATTTCATTATTAATGTTTTCTTTTGGTGCTTTTGTCAGTCAGAAATGCACTGCCATATACCTGTTGATACATATCAGATAATAGCTTGTAGTCTCCTTCAGGCGGCACCCATGTTTGCAGTCTGAATTTCTCTATGAAGTAGGTAATTACCAGAAATGAAAACTTACTCATACACACTTCCTACTTTTAAATATGTTAGTGTTGCAACCAGTTTGTAGGATGTTAGTTACTAACAAAGACGCAAAGTCTTAATCTTTTATAATTAAGCAAAATGTGGCATTCATTATACGTTTTCAGTTCCAAAAATAGCAAAGGAATATTTTATCTTTATTTCCAGAAGCTGAGCTGAAGGAATATTTTGCTTTATTAAGGTACAATGTGTTTTTTAATTGAGAAACAAGGTGTAAGTTTAGGCTTAAATTGTTTTGAGAAAAAGGAAAGAACTCCACATGTGAATGCTGTCTGGTAGGAATAGAACTTGAGATAAAATCTATTTCTTATTGGTATTTAAAAGAGACTTTGTCTCAAAACACAGTTTTCAAAACAAACTTGTGGTAAAGCCTTTGTTGTTTAGCACTTTAAATGAGATTAAAATAGTAGCTGATACTTGACTTGGGATAACTTGGTTAGTACACAAAAGGCTTGCAAGATGAAATAACAGAATAGTTGACCATATTCTGCACATGGCTCTACAACACAATGTACCTTATGTGTACAGTCCATGTGGATACAGTACATGTAATGTACAACTTGCAGTAAAAGATCACTTTGAAAACATTGGCTTTGTTCAATTGCCATTATATGTTGAATGTTAGAGCAAGTCAGATGTTCTCATTAAAGTCTATGTTCTTTGCTGGAATTCTGTTTGCATCCAGAATGGGTTTTAGCATCCTCTAACTCTTAGAAGTATGTTAATATGTTTTGTGGGTATGTAACAGCATATGGACTTGAATTGAAACAGTGCAGTCCCTATGTGAGTTGTTTGGTGAGCAAATTTCTGGTATTTCTTGGAGGGCTTCAACTTTGCAAGACCATTCAGCCTTGTGTGCACATCGGAATCAATGAGGATAGGTAATCATTCAAAAGTAAGGGCTATCAAGGCATAGGTATGATGTATTTTAGAGGATTTCAGTGTATTTCTAGAGCAAGAGCTAATTGCCCATTGAGGGATCAAGATCAATTTCTTTTTCTGAAAACTGACTGCTCAGTTTTCAAAATATAGGCAAAAAATAACTTTATTTGATTGCATAACTTTATTTGATCGATTTATATTGATTCTGGATTTTGTGTTGCAAGTTTGTTCTTTTTAATTTCTTCTCCACGGAAGTTTTATTTTCTGTATTGTGTCCTCAGACTCTTCAATATACAACAGCCATGTTCAATGAGAGAATGTAAGACTAACTACAATTTTAAATGTAATTTTATAAGCTTGTTGAAATTTTTCCCAGTTCCAGTTGAATGCTGTTAGGAATGCACCTCCAAAATGTCTTCTAAAATCTGAATTAAGTAAGGCATATAAAATAAAGATGGTAGTTAAAGACTTAAAAGCTTACTTGTATGGAAAGATAATGAAAGGCCTCATAGATGTAAGACACTTCTTAACTTCTTTTAGAAGTAAAAACAAGTGTATTGCATTGTTTCTCTTTCTAAACTATGTAAACTTTTATGTTGCTACTAGATTTGAAATGTAAAAAAGACAGAAAAAAGAAGAAGAGAGTGACTAATATTATCTCATTTGATGAAGAGGAAGATGACCACAATTTGGGGGATGCCACAAAGACTCTGATTACAGGGGAAAGTTCAGAGGAGAGTATAGACAAATCTTTAGTTTTTGCATTACCCTTATCTGAAAGCATTCTCGGGAAGAGTTTGAATGGGACTGAAAGTAGCCATTCGTGGAAGAGTAATTCAGTGTTCATGAATGGAGAGTATGAATACCGGAAACTAGATGTGAAGAGCATTGATGATGAAGACGCAGATGAAGACCTGTGTGAAAAATCGTTAGGAAATAAAGGCACAGAAGGGGAAACTGAAGCTTCTGAAAAGTAAGTAACATTGCAGGAGCCATTTTCCATGCCTTCTCAGCTCCCTGCCTCCTTCCTTCATGGGTACTGGCAGATTTGTGTAACTGACTGAACTATAGGTTTTCTCACACACCCCCACCACTTCCTTTTTTACTTCTTTCTCCTTGTTTAAACCATTTGGGCACCGTGGTGATGGTACTTCGCTTCTAAGTTCCACTGAAAACCAAACTGTCTTGATTTCAGACTTGTTATCCTTGAAGTTCTCAGTTGTGCGTGATACACCCATGCTATAATTCTGGCCTATTTGAAGTGTCCTTATTCTTAGTATGATAGCAATTTTGTTTTGGCTTCACAGTAAACCCACATATTTTAAACAAGGGTAAGCCTGTTATCATCAGAGTAGATAATTAAACAAGACAAAACAAAACTGAGGGAAAAAGAATTAATTTTAGATACTAGGATGCCCTCTTTATTTCTGACACAGAAATCCCTCTGGAGGAAAAGAACCTGTCTCATCTTTGGAATGAGTTTATGTCTGAAACAAGAAATTGGCAGGTAGATTAAAATAAATTTTCTTGCAGTGATATCTCTGAAAGAAACACAAGCATTGTGAACATGAATATTGACTCTATAACCAGGTTGTTTTGTTGGTTTGTTTTAAACCTAGGCCTCATGAACTAGGCACATGCAACTCACAGATACGCAGCTGGAGTCCTCTTCAGGTCCTGAACGATGACTCAGGTGTTTTATTTCCTGTCAGTGCTGTTGGGTCTTACTCCCAAACAGGTAGAGATTTTAATTTACCAAATTCCATCAAACTTTATAACAGAATATTTAACATGGGATAATGGTAAGAAATAATGGGATTGTAAGGGCATGGGATATATTGCACAACTGGGATGGGAGGTTCAATTAAAGTTTATTCTAGATCTGAATCAGAGTTCTCCATTTGAGTAGATGTTTAGTTGAGGATTTGTCAGTGTCAGAATAAACCAGAATTATGTCGGGATTAAGCTGTGGTCTTGTATTTTATTAATGCTTAGCATGGTTGAATAAAAAGTGTCTTTACTCATTTTCTAGATATCACTAAGCTGGAATAAGCTTCAAATGTGTTTGAGACTTTGAATTCAAATTAATCATGACAGATTGGAGAAAGTATCAAATACTGGATGCAGTTCAATAGAAGCTGTTATCTCTTTATATAAAGGATGAGGTATGATTGGCTAGGAAAAACATCTTTGGAAAAGGATGTGGGAATCATAGAATGATTTGGGTTGGAAGGGACCTAAAGCTCATCCAGTTCCAACTCCCTGCCATGGGCAGGGACACATTCCACTTGACCAGGTTGCTCCAAGCTCTGTCCAGGCTGGCCTTGAACACTGCCAGGGATGGGGCAGCCACAGCTTCTCTGGGCAGCCTGTGCCAGTGCCTCAGCACCCTCACAGGGAAGAGCTTCTGCCTAAGAGCTCATCTCAATCTCCCCTCTGTCAGGTTAAAGCCATTCCCCCTTGTCCTGTCACTGCAGGCTGTGGTAAAATGTCTTTCTCCATCTTTCTTATAAGCCCCCTTAAAGTACTGAAAGGCCACAGTAAGGTCTCCCCTTAAGGAGCCTTCTCTTCTTCAGGCTGAAGAAGCCCAGCTCTCGCAACCTGTCTCCAGAGCAAGAGCTGCTCCAGCCCTCACAGCATCTTTATGGATGCAGAGCAAAGACCTCAACCATGCTTTGTTTTTTGTAGCCCAGAGTAAGATTGGCTTCCAGGGCCATGAGTGCCAGTTGCAAGTTATTTTCTGCAGGATACCCACTATAATTAGTGGGTTACCAGCTGGTAGTGAATTAGCAGTGCTGTGCTTCCCACACTTCATACAGACATGCCTAAATGAAAGTGCCATTTGTAAACTGATGCTCATTTGGCTCTGGTGTGGCCTCATCTGTACGCAGTTTGGGGTATTGCACTTCAAGAATGATACGGACTATTTGGTGAAAATCTTGAAGCAAGCAATGAAAATAGTCAAAGGTATGGAAAAGAAGAACTGATACTTTTCCAGTGTCTGTATTGGTACCAAAGCCAAACAAAAAACTTCCACTGCTCCTCATACCCACCTCCCCCAGTTAATATTTCACTAGCTATTCATAAGAATACTGCTGTTCATGAGAACCATTGCAAACTTTGGATATGTATTCTCATTTCAGGGACCACTCAGAATCTCCTCAGTGGTATTAAAATAATGTTCTAATTATAAAATATTTCATATTTTTTGCATATGTGTTATGTGCCCAGAGTTTAAATGGACTGTTGATTGAAAAAGTGTAATTCAGTCCTGTACGTTTGGTGATAAAAATAATGTGAATTGTCACATGATGCTGTGCTGCCCTCTGCTGCACATGTACCTCTTCAAAAATGCCAGTGGATCAAAAAAATAGAATGTACATTTTCTTTTCTTTTTTGTACTCCTACATTTTTCAGTTTATGAAGGAATGGATCTAGAAAACATGGAGTTTGTGGCATTGTGTTAGACTTTATACAGAAATGGTTAGAAAAGGTCCAGAGATTTATAAGGGTTTGCTGATTGCAACAGATTGAAATCTAGAATATAAGTAAATGTTCCTGTTTCTGGGGGTGGGTGTGTTTTGGAGTGGGAACTCACGGTTGAGCTGTGGGTTTTGGTAGCCAGACAGATGTCACAAGGCATCAGGAGCTAGAGCTAGGGCCTTACAGCTGAAATCAAAAGTCAGGAGGCCAAGCCAAGACTTAGCCAAGCCAAGACTTAGGACTGGAGACAGGTGACCAGAGAGGACATCAAGAAGTGTAACAGGGGTTACTTTTATTAAGGAGATGCCAAAGCTCCTTGTTTCACCTTCCTTCATCTCAGAATTGTTTTGAAGAGAATGCTTATGCTACTAGAGATGGTCAACAACAGGTCTATTCAGGCCCCTTCTGGCACAGTATACAGATGTTTTCAGTTCTCCTTCTGCCCCTCTTTGTGCTAAACCCTGTGGTCCAGCATATAAGCCAGAACAATACGGCCTTGGGCTGGTGAAAGGAATCTTCATCAGTTGCAGGAAACACAACATGGATTCTGCTGTCCCATTTCAACCTCCCATGCAGTCAGTGGGGCCCTTCAGAGCAGCCCTGGACTGACAGTGTGCAGACAGGCTTCACTGAAAGGCCCATCATGCAACCCAGTTAGGGAGAATGATATGCATGGGTACAGTCCCCCTCACGCCAGCCATAATGAGAGTTGGGTGATACTGAAATCAGCCTTTGGCAGTTCTTTGCTTTTTTGCTAGATGAATGATACCAAGGGCAACATGGGTTAGCTTTTTTCTGAGGGCTGTTCAGCCCAGTAACTGGCCATCTCATGATTATTATGACAACGTTTTTGCTAAAAATACTTAGTGAGCTCTTGGAGAATATATAGTTTAACCCAACATTTTGATTTATAAGTCTAATACAGGTAAGTAACAAGACGTGCCTTTGAAATAGATTACAGCATAATCTGTAGTGTTGTATGTTATTATCTGTGTTTGTAGTTTTGATCTGTTGCAGTGCTTCAGGGATGTGTCAGGGCATATCATATCTCCATGTACCAACATTCAGTTGCTTAGAACAAAAACAGAGCATGCATTTAGGAACTGAGTTTAAGTAAACTCTGCAGCTTAAAAAGCGAATTTCTCCATAGTCATTCTGACATAACTAATTCACATTAACTTTTTCCTTTTAATTCCTGATTTTTAAATTCTGGGCTGGTTTAGCTCATGCTTTTAGGATAGTTTTATGGTAACTTTGTAACCCTTAAATAGTAAAATGCAGGAAACATCAGTGAAATGTGTTTTGTTTCTTTCCACCTGAGCTACCTTAATAACAGGCTCAGTGATGTGTATGCTTTGATCCTGACAGTTGTGGATCTGTGGGTAGATGCGTATTATCCATGCTTTTTAAAAAGTATCTCATCTGTCTGATTCCTGATGTTTGGTACCTGGGCATAAAAAGCCGGGGAAAAGCATGGTGCTCTGTAGGGAGTGCGTAAGGGACTGGTGTCAGTGCAGGGTTTTCATGTATGGGGGACTAACCGCAAATCCTTTTCCTGCAAGTCACAAACAGATTTGTAATGAGTGTCAGATGCCGTATAGTGGTTAAACTCCTGAGACTTTCAAAAATCACTTCAGTAAGGAGTCACTTCATAGCTTTGCAGCATTGTTTCCAGTGTAAAATGTACATCCAAGTTAAAACTTAGGAACTGTGCAATACTACTTTTTTCTAAACTGATGGCTGTGTTCCTAAGGACTCTATAATCCTGCCGGCATTTGGGGTGAATGTGCAGAAGCCAACCTTGGAGAAAGAATTGAAAGTGTTTAAAAGCTGTAGTAAAGACGAGTGTTGCTAGTTAAAAATGTAACTACCTTCCTTCTGGTTTTGTTTTTGATTTAGTTTTTAAGTGCTGTTAGCTGAAGAAAGCTAATGTTTATGTATTCTACTCTAGATAACTTGGAGAATGGAGAGGGACATGAACATGTTCATGCAGTAGAACTGGTTCCAAGAAGATCTGATCTTCCCTACAGGTATGTGTCATATATGTTTTCTGTAAACAAAAAAATCTTCACCCTGTAGCTGCCAGCTTCTTATTGTTACCTAATGTGTAGCTTACTCAGTGCTGGGAAGCAAACTGTTCCTCACGGTACTTTCTGCAAAAGTTTGGAAAGACTAATGCAAAAGCCTGTGTATCTTTATACATAGTTTCATATAATGAACGTTCCCTAATTATCTTGAAGTCACATAGTCATGTCAAATAACAAATAGACTCACCATCCTGGCTTTGAAAATAGGGTTTTTTGTTGGTTTTTATGTTATGTTTTTACTGTATTCTTTGTGGACTTTTGATGTGGATTTTTTTTGGGTGTGTATTCTTAAATCAGACTCACAACAAATATGTGAAAGGATATAAGTTGATTAAATATGGGTGAATGTAATGATAATTCTAGTTTCTGGAATTCTTTTTTCTTAATTTTTGAATTCAGGGTTTTGTTTTCATTTATTGATGAAATTGTACTTTTGTGACTAGAGTGGAAGTCAGTCCTCCAGCTCAAGTGAATACTTTAAGCAATATGTTGCCTTCAGCGACTGTGCCAGAATCCATGACAATTAGTAAGTACTTTCTTGATGTATCTAGATTGCTGGAATTAACTTTGTTTCAGTAAGATCTGTTCAGAGAGGCATACAGCACTTCATTTCTGATATGCTGGCCATATTAGAAATGATTGCTCTAAAATGGTTCTTGAATTGGCAGATCCCAGGTTATTGTTCATTGCAACTGGTATGACATTAGCTTCTCTTTCCCCAGAGAAGTTGATGTCATCCTTATACTAGATGTGGCTTCAGTACTTAAATGAACAATAATGATTTAATTCCATTAACATCTTTAGATCTCTGGAAGCTCTGAAAAGACTAATGGGTGGTTCTGATCTGATCTTACTCGTTTTGCCTGCTTTCGTTAATGCCTAGTCAGAAGAAACCCCAAAACCAACAAACCCAGAACTCCTTCTGTGTACATTCAGTCTGTGATTTTGATATGGAAATCTGCTGCAGACATAAATATGGCTTTCATAAGTAAAAACTTGGGTTAAGATTAAGGTGGAGGACAGTTGTATTTTCGGTGGCGTTAAGAGTTGAGCTGGACAGGATAAAATAGCCTTTGCTGTAGAAAGATATTAGTAGAAGCACAGGCAGTTTGTTTACCCCATTTTTAGTCTTTTATATTTTTTTCTTTACATAAACTTATAGAACAATGATTTAGCTCTTAAACTGACTAGCAGTCTAAACATATAAGCCAGTATGGTTTTATTTTCCTCACTGTACAGAAAGTTTTGTAACTGAACTGGTGGATATGGCTTTGTTCCTAAAGCTCTGGGGTGTGTGTGCGCGTTCTTTTTTCTAAATATAAATATGTACAGTTTCAAATTATGACATTGGGAATGTAGAAGTGGTGCAGCCAGGATTGTTTTCTGAAACTGATTTATGAAATCATCAGAATGAATGAACCCTTAAAATACTGTAATCTCATGTTCTAATGCCATGTTCAAATGATATCTGTGTCACTGTGTGTTAAAGGAGATAGACCATGTGCTTTCACTGGGTACTGTTTCAGGATCTGGCCTGGGTCTGCTGACAGAGCGTTACCAAGTACTTTATGAAGGGGGAAAACAATAGTTTGAGACTTTTAAGTGACATAGTTGAATGTGTAGATGGAGTTACTGTTGATAGTTACTGTGATACTTTGGTCACTGGATATTCTCTGCTCATTATTACTGCAATATCCTTTCGTTCTTACTCTTTTTTTTTTTTTTGAGTAACAGAATTTTATGAAGAAAGTTTCTGATTTTACTGCACTCTGTTGCTGCTGTTCGTCGGTGTAGTAGGTACCAGCAGGGGCCGCAATTGGTCTCCTTTAGTTGCTCAGTTCCTACGTGTAGTGGACAGCTATAAAATAGAAAGTAAATCGGGATTTTCAATTCTTGATACTTAGAAATTTCTAAATGAAAAGAGCCACAGGATCAACAGAAGCATACATGCTACCATGAGCTTCCCATTTCAGAGAAGGCTTTTGTGGGGGGAAGGGGGAAAGCGTATCAAAACAATTCCAAAACCAGTGGAATGCTTAGTGAATAATCTAATTATCAGAACCAAAATTCAGCTGACTGTTCATATAAGTTAATGCCTTTATAACAGCTGATCCCAGACACATTCAATAAGAATGTCTTTCTCAAGTTCATTGTTGCTGGTTGCAGATCCCCTGGCAAGCATGAATTCAAAAAAAAAAGTGCTGTGACAAAGCCAGACACTGAAGCTCTTTTTTCTATCTCAATTAGCAGAAGAATTATTAAATGGTGAGGCTTAGAGCCTGGTTGCATAGCAACTAATTCTAACACATCAGACAAGAAAAATGGGATGCAATAGTGCAGGGAGAAAAGCTGTGAGTCTCCAATGACTGGATTTTTGTGCTTCTTGCTGCTGCAGACAATGCCTGAAATGAAATTTTGGGGTTTTAATCTATTCTTTTCCTTGTTCCTTTCCAACTTACTAGCATAGTACTAGCCCTTGCTCGGTTCTTTTGACATGCAGGCCAGAAAATTGTGTCCTGAGAAGCTGTAATTTAGAATTTCTGCCATTTTGAATGATCTTTCTGACTTTATATCAATGCATTTGTCAGGCAGAGGTCAACTTGGCAGCAGATACAGCTCAAAAAATACTAATACCATTTGAGACAAATTCTCATCTACAGAGTTACAGTTCCACTGAATACCTAAGACATCCTTTGAAAACTCACTCTACTTTACAGATTGTTATACAGATTATAACCGATTTTATAAACAATTAAGTTTGTCAGAAGTTTTGTTTTTGTGTGCCTATTCCATGATGTCATTTTCCAGTTTTCAAAACGTTGCATTTATCTTGTCATATTTGAATCACAAACAACTTCGTCTTCTCCAATTATTGTCATTGGAAGATGGTATTTGCAGCATTGTTTTACACCATGAGAAAAATCTGTCCTACCAGCACAAGTCTCCCCATTTTGTTTTTGCAGTGGAAAACAGGGAAGTTCCAAAATTTTAATTTTTGAAGGATGCTGCTTGTGTCCTTCTGTACAAGGTTCTTTGACTCTGGTGCTAGGTTTAGTAAATAAATGGGAACTTACTTTTCCCACTATAATTTCCCTCAGTTTTTAAAGTTGGGTTTAACCACAAAGGTTAGCAAAGGGTGTGGTGTTATACATCATTCTCTATTTTTTCATATATTCTGGAAAAAGCTCCCATTTTTTTCATGATCACTGGATAACTTTACCGGATAATGAAACCTACATATCATATTTTGATCTTGGTATGTAAGTAAATAAGGTGTATGCTTTTTGTACTTTCTCTGTCCTCTAAATAGCTTCTGACGTGTTTTGTAACTTGGTTGCTACCACTTACTGACAGCTACTAAATTCCTGTGACTTCTCTGAAAGGAGAACTGTGGAAAGAGGGTGTATAAATTTCATCACTGAGGAAAAAAGCTGCAGTTCATCTTACGGGCTTCTATTTTTCCTCAGGACCCTACTAAACAGTAGAATGCCAGAGCTGTGTTGTCTAATTTGTTTCCTACTAAAATTTGCCCTAATAATAGTAATATGACAGGATAATATTTACAGGATTTCGGAGCACTAAATAAACCCTTAATATCCAGTGTTCACGCAGGCAGCTTAGGAAGCATGTCTTTAAAGGTCAGACTTCTGATTTAAGATGTAGATCATCTGCTGGAAGTTTATTTGTTTCTGAAAATATCTGTGTAAATTTGCACTCTGGAAAATAAACCCAAAAAGTCGTTCCTGTAGCCTGCTCCCAGCCCACCCTCCTATTCCATCTGCAGGATTGCAGGGGAGTGCTGCGTGACCTTGTATACAAGAGAGATGATTTCACTTACAGCTCAGTCTTCATAACAGGTGATTGCAGATCAGACTTTTCCAATCTTAACAGCAGAAGAGTTGTGAAACTCAGGACTTTTCTGGAGGTTGCTGGGAAGTTGGCAGGTGTTTCTTAAAACGTGGCACTTCTCTATGTATTTCATGCTCTGAATGTGACCTTACAAAAGCTTTATAGGAGTTAGACTTTTGCATGTAGTATGCAAGGGAATTAAAACAGGTTTAAGAGGAAATATTTGCTTTATTAGCAATTAGGCACTGCAGATTAATTTCAACAATAAAAGATAGTTTTATGGTTTTTAAAAAGTAAAGTTTAATATTAGCAATTTATTTTGCATATTCCTTCGTTCTTTATCAGTAAAAAAACCCCAAACCATAAGAAAGACCTGGTTTGGGATTACTGGTTTGCACATAGAAGTTGTTGCAAAAGTAACTCTTAAGATGACATAATTTGCAAGACTTCACTAGTAATCTTCTTATATCTGTCTTTATGAAACTCTCATTATCACAGAGTTTCAGATTAGTTTGAAATATGATGGTATTGAATGCTGATTGTTAATAGCAGTAGTGTAGCTCTTTCCATTAGTGTTACTTTACAGAATGTAAATGACATCAAGCACAAAGCAGTTCAGAAATAGGACATAAACTGTTTCCTGAAGTGGGCTGACCTGGCCATCCTCCCACTGTTACTTAGGAGAAAGGAAAAGGAAAAAGATTGAGGTTGCAAAGTCCAGAAGTCAGAAAATACCCAATGTATGGTTGCTGCCACAACACTGATTTTTAAGGTTTTATTTAGTTATTCCTTTTTCTAATGCACACAATAAATGAGACATAAGTCTGCTGAAAAAATAGATTATGATCATACACTCATCTGAGAGGCAAGCATAACATAGACAAAAGCTGAGGAACTGGATATTCTTGTAGATCTGATGTGAACCTGCCTCAGTGTATGACACTGGGTTTTCTTTGCATTCAGCTGCTAAAAGTTTTCAAGAAGCATCAATGAGAGTAAGAAACAATGATATTTTTTTTTTTTTATTAAAGTTTTGATTGTTATGCCTGAATTAAATAGGACGCTGCCCTTTAGTTTTTTTGCTACTTGCATCAGAAGATGATGAAATTTAACTTTTTGAATTTATTTTTTTTCTTGGTATCTCTTCATTTAATTAGACTAGTGAATGTTTGAGTCCATTATATTTAATGTGGATGGTGAGGTTAAAGAGATGTTAATAAACTTCATAGTTCTTGTGTTTCTTTTGAGTAATTGGTAGAAAATATGACTCCGTAATACCACTTCAAGAAGAAATAGCATAGGTACAGCAATGAAGCAATAGCACTGCTAGGGTAAGTACAGGCTGCACAAGCCTCCTTAGCCCAGACTGTGTTTGTGTTGATGCTTTCTTCCACATCTCCACGGCTATATGTAGTTGAACTAAATTGCTAAGAAATACTGAGTATGAAGTCTGCTTTTGTGGTTCGAAATTAAGCATTGATTTTTGTGATAATGCAATGTTGCAGTTTCCACTTTGCTGTGTCACTACAGTACTGTCAGTTCCATAACTCTCAGAATAAATGGGGCAAATGGAAATAAAAAACATTTTAACATCTTTTATTTCCTCTCCTTTTAAACCAACCATGGTGTTTAACAGAATCTTGCTTTCATGCTCTGGTTTCTTGTGTGTGTGTTGGAGAGGGGAGTGAGAGAAGATGGGATTTCAATTCTACTCAGGCAGAAGATGCTGGATGGAATGAGGGAAAGAAGATTAAGTTTTTAGGCAAGTTAAGGTTACACTTTGAATAGGTTGGTAAAATTGGAAAAATTGAGAAAATACATAATAGCTTCACTGTTGAAGTGTTAACAAATCAGGACACATTTAAACAGACTGGGTATGCATTTGGGCAGGTATTGTAGAGCAGTCACCCCCGCATAGGTGCAGAGCCAGAACTACAGTAACTTGTCTGAGTAGCAATGGCTTTTATTTCTTCAGAGTCAGAGAAATAATAGTAACTAACTCAGATTGCACAATATCATATTTTAATGACGCTCTTAAAATATTTAAAATATCATTGGCATGATGCTTTCTTGAGGAGAACTCTGAATTCAGCTTTACCATTCAAGATCTTTATTTTGATAGTGTTACTGTACTCAGGGCTCACTATGGATGTGTTTTGCTTGTGTTGTACACTTGTAGAAGGCTTGAACACTTAGTGTTCTATTTTGCTCATCCTTAGAACAAGTTTTTATTTCACAGATAGGCTGATGGATTGTGGTCCACTTCCACAACACTCCATATTATTTTTTTGGGACTGTCACATCCCACCAATTTTCCACTGCCAAAAAATCTCACCAGCAAACCACAATATAACCCAACCAAAAAAACCCCTCAACCCCCCCCAAACTTTCCAATCTGTCCTCAGAATGGCAGTGTCTCATCATGACCAAAAGAATACTAATAGTGTGTTGAGTTTCATGGTCGTCAAGTTTGATATAGCCAAATATAATACTTTAAACCTTAGAATATAGGTTTTGGTGGGGGGTTGGTTGGTTTTTGGTTTTTTGGTGTTTTTTTGTTTGTTTGGGTTTTTTTTAAATATAAATGCTAGTTAATAAAAGCCATTGTAGTCCATTTTTGGAAAACTAGTGAAAATAATGGAGCACAGTGTATTTTGTTATATATAATCTTTCCATTCTAAGTTTTCCTATCATTGCTGTGTAAATTGCAGTGGTTACCTGATCACTTCAATGCAGTATGAACTTTACTCTTGCCAGAAAGGGTATTCCATCTTTCATTCTTCATCCTTCGTGACTAAAAAGGTGGTGTGCTCTGCCCTGACTGCTTTCTGCTCTGTGCCTTGTGCCAGCAGTGGTACTGAACTCAACATTAAGATCACTTGGCAGCTGCTTGTCTGAAAAACAAACCAACAAACCCCAATCAAAACCAAAAAAATTTGGAGCTGGCTCAGTTCCTGCTGGGACGCTCTGTGTATATATAAACACTAGGGCCAGAACAAAGAAGGTGGTAGCAATGATGGGTAAGGCAAGCTGGAATGGCCTTTCTGCTTCAAGCCCAGCCTTAGGAAGCCTGATTAAAGTACCCAGATAATAATTTCTGCAGGATTTGGAGATTTCTTTTTTTTTTTCAGATAACATATAGAGAACTTGTATAAATATGCTAAGTTACTGTAGTAATTATTCTTTCTATGCTGAATTAATGGAGTGCAAAATCTCTCTAATGACCTACTGCAATGTTTCTTGCTAATGTCAATTAGTTCTCAAGTGCTAGTGTGGAATGGGTAGGAAAATAATCATCATCTTTCTTCATGGCCAAAGAAGCAGAAATGTTTTGGAAAAAATCTAGCATGGAAGGAATTGGATTGGTTGATATCAAGTGAGAGGAGGCTCCTGTTGAATCCCACTGGGGGATTTGCCAGCAATGTCAAACTGGAATTGTGGTAACTGTGCTGACTGATACATTTGATTGACATAGTAGAAATGTTCATATTTCATCCACTACTAGAGTTCAGCAAATTTAATCTGGTCCACAGGACAAAAATGTTAAGGTTTTTTGTTCTGTTTTGTTTTTTTTTTTTAACTGGCAAAAATGTCTGTAACTATAGACAATATTAAGAAAGCAGGGACACCTTCCACTAGACCAGGTTGCTCCAAGCCCCATCCAGCCTGGCCTTGAGCACTGCCAGGGTCAGGGCATTCAAGTCTTTGAAGGCCTGTTGTATTTCATGTATTCATGCAAGATCTGGAAGTCAGAATCTGTTTTAGAAACTACTAATATTTTTCTCTAAATTTATGGTAAATAGTAATAGTGCAGCTGTATAGTTACATGGTAAAACCTTTGTAATAGCAGAAGGACTCGAGGTGAGGCAGTGTTTAGCTGACATTTTTCTGCATGGTATTCAGCTACCCTGGTATTACTGTTAAACCTAACTCTAGGGAAGTCTTTAAAAGTTATAAAAGTCAGTCTTTGTTGAAAAAAAAAAATTCTAGATGTCATGACGATGTATTTCTTTAAGGTATTTATAGGAAATAATAAAGTTTGTGTAGGAAATGGTAAGATCTTAAGGTCCTTCTAACCCTAACTATTCTGTGATTCAGAAATCCCATTGTCTTTAAGACATTCTTTAAGACTGAGTTTGAGAAGAAATGCCATGAAGAAGCAGTGAAGTTTTCTCTATTCTGGTCTCACTGTAACAGTTATATTTCCTGTGTCTGAATTTCTAGCATAGAAAACAAGCAATTTGAAGTTAAACAAGTTACAGCGTTATCTCATTAGTATGCACATAGTGAAATAGTGAAAAGGTGCATCATCCCCATATGTCTGGGATTAAAACAAAACAGCTGCAACCACAGGCAAATTCGTCAACATCTGTATTAAAGCCAGAAACACCCTAGTTAGATTTGATTGATACTTCTGATTATGTGTTATATAATACCATTTTTGAAGATTGCTCAAATTAGTGATGAGAGTAAGAGTATTTTATGTGCTTTTCTAATAGCAAATGATGTTGGCATCATCTTAAGTGTGTTGCTGAATTAGTGCCACTATGTACATGACTATACACAAAGAAATTCATCTTTTTTGTCCCTTCTCTTTAGATGAACTTCGTCAAGCTATCGTGGCCATGATGAATAGAAAAGATGAACTGGAAGAACAGAATAGGTAGTTTTCTTTTTCTAGTCAAGAGGGACTTAAAAAATAAAACCCTGTTCTCTAATACAAGCTGTCCTTTGTGTAAAGCTATGTGTAATCATTATGTAATCTTTTTGATGTATATATTCTTTTTCAGTAAGAGATAAGCTTAATATTTCAATATGCAACTGTTGATACTGAAGAGTAATGTCTGCAGGTCAACTTTTTCCTTCAAATTCAAATCATGTGTAATTCTTTGTCTTAGGACCTTTTGCCAGTTTTACTTTTGTAGCTTTTTAAAACCAAAATTTATAGTCAAAAGATTCTTAAGATCTCTTAAAACAGATTTCCAAGTGAGTAAAAGCTTCTCCTACACATAATTCAGAAAATTGCCTTTTCCTTCTGGTACAGAAGTGCTGTGGGATGGCTAACAATGTTATGCTGAAACTGACTGTTACTTGTGTCTTGCTGTTCACTTGGGGCAAAATTATGACGTAAAAATGATAAGTGGCTTATTTAAAATGCTATCAAACCTACTTTGTATTTATGTAGTCTATTGGAACACATGGCTAGATGAATAAAAATACAAATGTGTTCAAGACATACTGTTATGCTGTAGTAGGGCTATTTTGGTAATATACATATTTCTGTAGATAATTTAGAGTTTTTTGTTTGTTTTAATATTGAACTACCAACTGATCCCATTTTCCTGCCTCTTATCCTCCTTGCTCCCATAATTGCAAGTTACTGCTCCGTTCAGTTTCATGGTTTTTTTGGCAGAAGGACCAGCTCAGCATCACACTGACCTTTGCTATCTCATCAGAAGTTTTACAGAGAGGTCTATGGCATTGCTCTCACTAGAGACAAGACCACTACCTGTCTCCTGCTCTTGCTAGTAAATATGTTGCTAATAGATTATTCCTGAGATGTACAGACTTGCACTGAAACGAGTTTATAAGATTTTTTTCTATAAGAAATGGTTTCTTTCTGCTGGTACAGTAGATGCCATAATAGGTTGCCCTTTGAGCATGTCAATGAGGTTGTAATACAAGTTCACAGAGTAAGCACTGACAACTATTTGATAGGGACCTTCTTCCTTGTAGATTTTCATATCTTTGCATAATCAAATCAGGTGAGTTTATTACACTGAATAATTAGATTTTAGGATGACATCAGTGGTATCATTCAGGCAACCCACTTTTTAATTCACAGAGTATATTCTAATTACCTGATAGTGTTAGCAGTGTTCTAACAGAGGCTTCTGCCTTCTTCCAGATCTCTGAGAAACCTGCTTGATGAAGAGATGGAGCATTCTGCAGCACTAAGGCAGGAAGTGGACAACTGGAGAAGGAAAGCAGCAGAGCAGGAAGAGCGACATGCCATGAAAGTCCAAGCATTGGCACGGTAAGGAGTGCTGAAACTGTCATAAGAAGTAACAGCAGTGGAACAAGGGAATAAAAAATTCTGCATACAGGAGAAAATAATTTTCAAGTAGTTTTCAGAAGAACATAAGTGAACATTGGGGCCACAGAGATGATTTCAGGTCCACAGGGGTGATCAGGGGTCTGGAGCATCTCTCTTATGAGGAGAGATTGTAGGAGCTGGGACTGGTTAGTCCAGAGGAGAGCAGACTGAGAGAGGATCTTGTCGATGCAGATCAGTATCTCAAAGGCAGGTGCCAGGAGGGTGGTGCCTGACTCTTTTCAGTGGTGCCCAGAGACAGGACGAGGAGCAATGGCCATAAACCAGAACACAACAAGTTTCACCTCAATATGAGGAGGAACTTCTTTCCATTGAGGGTGGCAGAGCACTGGAACAGGCTGCCCAGGGAGGTTGTGGAGTTCTCCCTCTCTGGAGACATTCCAAACCCACCTGGACACATTTCTGTGTAAACTGCTCCTGGTGGCCCTGCCTTGGCAGGGGGTTGGACTGGATGATCTCCAGAGGTCCCTTCCAATCCTAATGATTTTGTGATTTTAGGACTAAAAATCCTATGGACTTCAGTTGAGTTCAGTCTGAAGAAAAGCTCTGGAAGATTTTCTGACATTCAGTGAGTTTGTGGGCCTTGTTTTGTCTAGTATTAACAGTAAGAGTTTAAAATATCTGTAAAACCACTACTACAGCTGCAGAGGAAGGAATATGAGAGAGCTGAACTTTGGACAACATCACATTTAATTTAAAGAAGTAATTAGACTAACACTAAGAAACATAAGCCATGAAAGTAGTGACAGTTCATGAGTCTAGATACAAAGGAATTCATGTGTGTGTAAGGTAAATCAAAGATGACTTTTGTCTCTTCATATACCTATTTTTTCCAGTTCTACCTTCTCACACCACCCCAGGAATAGCCAATTAATTTTGTTTTAATTTTTAAACAAAATTTAAATGATTTTAATTGATTTTTATTTTACTTATTATTTGGGAGGTTCTTGGTATAGCTGTCTGCCCAATCTGGAACAAATCACAGTATCAAGGTCCTGGGTGATTTTTATCTTCTGTTGGATATACAATATTGTTAATTTTGTTAATGTATCTAGAGCTGTCTCCAAATACTATTTTCAAACCTTAAATCTGATACAGCTTTTAAATATAAGGGGGCAGGGAGGGGAGCAGAAAGAGCACGTGATGTTGCTGTCCTAGAATAATGAAATGCTAGTTCTGATAGCGGAAATGGCTGCTTTGGTGCATGTGTAAATCGTAGGGGGTTTTTGGGTTTGTTTTGGGTTTTGGTTAGGTTTTCAAAAATACACAAGCTCGATTGTTGGGATTCTAGCTCTCAGATCTGGAGCCAGTGAGGACTTGTTTTGGAGGCTTACTTCAATTTACTATTACTCCGCAGTATTTCCTCTGGTGGATGTCTTGCATAATTCCATGCTTAGCTTAGTATGGGGGCCCTTTTCCTCCCATCAAGTTCTTACTTCAGTCAGTAGAAATTGTGCTGAGTGGTCCTAGTGTCATTTGAAGTGAGTAGGGATATTTGTATCTTCATTGCTTTCAGTTACATAGAATATGTCAGCGTTAGATGCTGCTGACATACTTTTCTGTATGTACCCTCATGTATGTAAGCAGTAAAGAATGGATAATCTGTCTTCTTCAGTGACATTTCCATCTGATCTGTCTTCCTTCTATCTGATTATTTAAGCATGACTTTGTTTTCCTTGGGCAGACTTTTTTTCTTGTCCTGTTGTCCGGTTTCCATGGCTGACCACTTTATAAGCCACTGTATCATAAGCAACAGTTGTTGCCAAACATCATTAACAGTACCAATTTGGAAATGGTGCAACTGTTTGCTCCTAGTCCTAGGCAGGTCAGCACGAATAGGTTGCTCAGGACCATCTCCAGTCAGGTTTTGAGTATGTTCACAGATGGAGAGTCCACAATCTCTTTGGGCAATGTTGTTGACAGTGACCCATTGTCAATGCTATTCCTAATGTGATGTTGGCTTTCTTTGCCATAAAGGGTGCATTGCTGGCTCATGGCCAGCTGCTTGTCCACCAAGACTCACAGATCCTTTTCTGGTAAGCTGTTTTCCAGCTCCCAGCATGTATGGGTGCCTAAGGCTGTTCCTCCTCAGATGCAGGACTCTGTGTTTCCCCTTGTTCAGCCTCAAGGAATTCATCTGAGTCCAGTTCTCCAGCCTGTGCCGGTCTCTGGATGGCAGCACAACTCTCCTGTGTATCAGCTGCTGCCTGGTTTTGTGTTGTCTACGAATTTGCTGAGGTGTGTCCCAGCAACTACTTTATTAATGAAGCTGTTAAACAACATTGGCCCCAGCAGTGACTTGCCTCCAGCTTGACTTTGTGCCACAGCTATGCTGAAAGAAAAGAATTTTAACCTTCCCCTCGTCTAAATGTGATTTAGCTTAACAAAGGCTTTTGAAGGTAAATGTTGCTGTAACAGTGTGATTTTCTCCTTACAATTCTAAATAAGCTGTAGAGTAACCTATGATGCCTGAGATTTTTGGGCATTATTCACATGTATAGTAAACAAACCTATCCCAAATGTTAAATAACATTAGTAATCTCTGTTTTATCCCAGGGAGAACTGTTTGTTTTCTGCCTGCGCGGGCAGAGTGCTTAGTGTTAATTGTGAGGTGACACAGCTGAGATTCCTGTAAGCATGTTATTGCACAGCAGGGCTACTATCTGAAAATGATAAATATAAAGCTTTCTTAAGAAAAACAAAGTATTTAGAACATTACCAATTCTGCTTTTGATGACACATCAAACTGAACAACTCACTTTGAGGGAGGGAGAGATCTGCACGAGTGGGTTTGACATTCATGTGATGCAGGGCAATTGAAACAATGCCAATACTTCATTGTTTAATGTTCACTTTTCAGGTTATAGGAATTGTCTATTCATATTTCTTTGACTCACTTCCCCCACAGTTTTAGAATTTGCAGTGACATATGGGTGAATCAGATACTGCTCATGCATCGAAGAATAGATTAGGAGGTTGTATAACAAAATCGAAACAGGTGCTCACTTAGAATAACTTAGTATTTTTAAACAAGTTTAATTTCTCTTATTGCTATCAAGACTGGGCAGGTTGTGTTGATTGTTCTTCTGAAAGTCAGATTACCTTGTCACATGATAAAAACAGCATTTGAGAGCTGTTTAGGTACAACAGATTCTTGTGTCACCAATTATTTTAGACTTTGGCTGCATTTCTTTAATGATTCATTGTAACTCATTGTCTAGCACATAAGAAACTTCGCATATAGCTATTTTGGAATATAGGTTTTTCTTCTAAATTCCTTTGCTGGTTCACTTCGTACATTGTAGGTGATGCTGCTGCAATAGTAAAAGGGGTAAATTTATTAAGTAAATAATATTTTAAACCATGAAGTTGGGCAAGATGAATAAATAGAAGAATTTAAAATAACGAATTTTGGAAAGTGCTGCATAATGCACTAGGTGAGTAAAAGAAAACTTGGGTTTCAGATATTTTGTAATAGTAAATCTCACTATATATATATACACACACATATACACCTTGAGAATAATTGATCACATGCCTAGAGTAGAAAAATTTTTTAAACTGTAATATTCTGAACATCTTAAGAAAAGGAATTTGATAACAATCTGATTATTGAAATTTGACGAAAAAATGTGCTTCAGGTTATGAGAGCTGGTGTTTGAGTGTCCCAAAAGCTCTTGCAAAGCATTTGATGTAAATATCGTCCTGAAGATTTTGAGAACACAGATTTCAGTGACACACCGGTCAGTGTTGAAATTATTACTACTGGTTATCTGCAGTGTTGGTTTATCCAGTTGGTCTCCTAGGCTCTCCTAGACAAAATGCTGACTTGCTTAGAGAAATTTTCCTGAGTTTCCCAAGGTCCCTTTGAAAACTGGAAAAATTCTTAGGTCCCTTCAGTTTCAAGTAATTGCAATCTCATTCTTTCATGTGAAGTATTTGGATAGCTCTTTCATAACAGTTACGATATTGTTTAAAAAGCAGTCTCAGCATTCAACATATTTTCTTCTGATAGAATAGGCTAAATAGACTCTAGTATAATTTTGTAACCTGTTTTTTATATTGTTGTTGGTTTAATTATTCCCCCCCCCCCCCCGATAAGCCTTTCTCAGATTGCATGGATATATTGTGCCAGTAGCTTCTTAGCAATGCTGAGGTTTTTTAGTTGAGATTGAGATTGTTTTTCTGTATGGAATACTTTTACATCCCTTTGTGAGGCAGAGAAAGGTATTGAAGTGGACTGTGAAACCGGATAATCTCAGGCTGAAGATTGTTAGACTATCTTCAGAAACATTGGAGGAAAGCTTTTGGCAGAGGATGAGCTTTGGAGCAAGAGAAGCAGATAAAGATGGTAATGCACTGT